ACCTCGGCCATTCTTTCTGGGCATGCGCATCGTAGTCTTTGACCTGGAGATGGCAGGGCTGGTCCTCCTCGTGATTCGTGCCACTTCGGCTGACGCTCGTCAATATGTCGAAGCTGATCTTACCGTCCGGCTTTGGGTATTCTATCTTGGGACACTCGTCTGCCGTCTTGGTCGCTGCGTGATCGGGCTTGCCATGCTTCAATGTCCACGGTGCCTTGCCTCGAAGAACGTAGGCCTCCAGACCAGAGTACATGATACCTCCGTAAATACCTAGTGGTGTGTGGAAAGACGGGCGCATGTTGCGCACAGTCTTTAGTTCTGACCAGATTGACGACTTGCGCATCTTGTCCTCGTAGTCATATAGAAACACGGTACCGCCGTCTGCATTGGCTTGTAGGGCGTCCCAAGTCGCCTCAGCAGCTAACATACCTGACCTCATTGCATTGTGCGTACCCTTGATCTTGGGCAGGTTGAGCAAGCCTGCGGCGTCTCCAAGCAGTGCACCACCAGGGAAGGCCAGTTTTGGTATGGACTGGAAGCCGCCCTCAATCAGCGTTCTCGCGCCATATGATATACACTTGCCGCCTTCCAGTACGTCCTTGTAGTAAGGGTGGTGCTTCATCTTCTGGAACTCGCCATAGGGAGCCAACCAGGGATTCGGGTAGTCGAGCCCGACAACGAGACCAATACTGACGAGGTTGTCGCCAAAATGATACATCCAGCCACCGCCATAGGTATCCTTCGGCAGCGGGTAGCCCATCGAGTGAACCACCAGTCCAGACTTGAATTTCTCTGGCTGCACCTCCCATACTTCCTTGATGCCAAGTCCGTACGTCTGATGTTGGCTATCTCTCCTCAGATCGTACTTCTTGATGATTTGCTTCGACAAGCTGCCATGGCAACCCTCACCAAGCAATGTGACGCGTGCATGGAACTCCATTCCTCGCTCGAATGAGTCTTTGGCCTTGCCTTCGCGCGAAATGCCGAGATCGTTGGTAGCTACGCCTTGTACGACGCCCTCGTGGTTGTACAGTACCTCCGACGCAGCGAAACCGGGGTAAACCTCGACGCCAACTTCCTCTGCGCGCTCGCCCAGCCACTTGACCATCTGGTTCAAGCTTATTATGTAATTGCCGTGGTTGTTCATCTGCGGAGGCTTGGGTAGAGGGATGGCGCTGTTCTTGGTCATGAAGAACATATGGTCTTCTTTGGCGGGGGTGATGTCGGCGAAGCGGTTCAGGTTGTCCTCTGACCTCCAGTCAGGCAGTAGCTCGTCGAGGGCAGAGGGTTCTATGACGTTCCCAGACACGATGTGATCGCCCAACTCGCCCGCCTTCTCCAGCACCAGAACCCTGAAGTCTTCATTGCCGGCCGCTGTCGCAAGCTGCTTTAGCTTGATGGCGGCGGACAGACCTGCGGGCCCACCACCCACGATGAGAACATCGACCTCGTCCGATTCGCGCTCTATCGACTTGGGATCGAATGTGTCGTCTACGGCGGCGAGGCGTGTGCGTGGCGTTGTGGAAAGAGCTCGTCTTTGACCGGCAATCCGTACTGCGGGACGGTACAGGCTGGATACGTTTCGTCGCGGTAATGATGCACATGCCAGTGGTCTCGATGCTATGCGCGCGGATCGCGAGGCTGCGAGCAACTGTCGCGTCGCTGAGGCGGGGACTGATCTGGTAGCCATGATGCAGGACGTGCTGTGTTGGAGAGGCAAACAATGTGTTGTATGCGGAAGTAAGTAAGTTGACGAAATTTTTGGGCTTCCTACGTATCCGACCGGCGGCGCACTACAGATCAGAAGCGACAGTGTTCAATACTGCGGAATGCGACAGAATTGCAGCATTAGACATGCACGCTCTTAGCCAACGCCAAAACCTCGACATGACGATATCCAAAAGTCGCAGCCGAGGCTACAAGGCTAAGTGCGGGATTGCAATACCGAGCACCCCATTGGCTCATCCCACCTTCATTCCTTCTCTCCGCACATGTCAAAGTCACTACATCCGAACATCCTCTCTGTGCGATTACTCTCATGTCAACATCTTCGCGCGCAGTGGTACGCGTGCTCGGTCTCTCTGACAAATGTCTCGACATGACGCCGTGGTGAGGGTATAGCAACATCAGGGTACTCGCGAAGAACAAAGTACTGTTATGCCTGCGAAAAAGGCTGAGCTAGCAAACTGCGAAGACAATTTGGAATCATCACAGAAGCTTGGGGAGCAGCTTCCTACAATTTCTCATATTCAAGCAGTCGCTTAGGATTTCCTCCGAGCGCGTCGGCGTGCCTGAAACCGGGAGAGAGTCAGGCCCTTGTATGCCTGCAAACCTCAGTCGTACACTAAACTTATGCGTTTAGGAAGGCATCTCTCCGCATAGATCGCCCCTGCCCCGTCTGCAACATGTTCTCAAACTACACACGTTCGACCCCCATCCTGGATCTTCGCCATGACGACGACTCTACCGGCATGGAGCTTGCGTCACCCTCTTTCTTCCGTAATCGTACGCTCTGCTTCATGCGTTTGATTCGACCGTTTCCACCCAAGCCACGGACCCGATCCCATGTCAAACTCGATCACCCGCTGTCATGCGAGACGAGGCTTTCGTACCTGTGAGAGAATTGTGGGGAGGACCGACGGTTTTCCTTCGAGCCTGGCCTTTGCAAGGCATCCTCCAACGGCGCATGTATGACATGCACGGCAAGCAGCAAATGATCGTCCCAACAATCGCGGCCTTGTCTATTTTGGACAGTGTCCCATTCAAGCATTCATGGAGCTCATATAAGAAAACACTCTTATATAAACCAGTCTCCTCAGGCGGATATCACGGCACGCTCAGCTTCAATCTTCAAACCATTCCTTCGTGCAGAGCACCATCTGTTTATTTCTATTCTCAAGAGCTGTGCTCATTTTAAGTTTCGACACACCTCGTTTCAATCCTTCAAGATCAACCCAATACCATCACAATGAAGACTTCCATCTCCCTTCTCACTCTTCTCTCAGCCTCCTTCGTGGCAGCAGCTCCAGCGCCTTTCGTGGGCCAGGGACCTGTAGTTGCCGCTGGCACCGAGAATGTAGTCATGCCCTCTACAAACTTCGGTCGCCGCGAGGAAGACGTTGTGCAGAAGTTTGGCGAGAAGGCCCTCAAGCTCCGCGGTGCGCTCTTGGCAGCACGCGGTGGCATGGGGAAAGATAATGCTAATGCCAACGCCGAAGGTGCCAATGCTGAGGATGCTGCGGCAGCTGGCAACAACGGCGCTCAGGACCAGGCGGCACAGGATGCTGCCGCTGCTGAAGAGGCCGCGCAGGGCAATGGCAAGGGCAAGGGCAAGGGCAAGAATGCCGATAAGCAAGCCGCTCAAGCAGGTACGTTTTGACACAATCCTTACCAAAGACTTCACTGACCCTCAATAGCCAAAGAGCAACAAGCTGCTGCCGATGCTCAGGCACAGCAGGACGCTGCCGCCGCCGAGATGATGAACCAGGGCCAGGCGCAGAATGCAACCGAGCAAATGGGCGCAGCAGACCAAGCTGCCGCCGATCAGCAGGCTCAACAGGATGCTGCTGCAGGCATGAACCAAGATCAAGCACAGAATGCAAACGACCAGCAGGCAGCGGACCAAGCGGCTGCTGACCAGCAGGCCGAGCAGGGCGCCGCCAACGGTATGGAACAAGCCGCAGCCGACCAACAGGTATGTTTCAAAACCCAGATCTCATGTCAGAATGACTTATTGACTCGACCAGGCTGCTCAGGATGCCAAGCAGAACCAGGGTGCTATGGATCAAGCCGCAGCTGGCCAGCAAGAGGCTGCTATGGGAGCTGATCAGGCTGCCGCAGAGCAAGGCAAGGGAAAGCAGCAACAGCAACAGGATGCCATGGACCAAGCCGCAGCCGACCAGCAAGCCGCCCAACAGCAGGAGGGTGCTATGGGAGCCGACCAGCAGGCCGCCCAACAGGAGGGCGCCATGGACCAAGCCGCAGCCGACCAGCAAGCCGCTCAACAGCAAGATGGCGCCATGGGAGCCGACCAGAACGCTGCACAGCAGAAGGGAGGCATGGACCAAGCCGCAGCTGATCAGCAAGCTGCAGCCGATGAGCAAGCCGCACAGCAGCAAGATGGCGCCATGGGAGCCGCCGAGCAGGCTGCCGCCGAGCAAGACAAGGCACAGCAGCAACAGCAGGAGCTCGAACAGGCCGCCGCCGAGCAGATGGCCGCTCAACAGCAAGCCGACCAGCAGCAGAAGGAGAAGGACCAGGCCCAGATGGCGGCAGACCAGGCACAGATGCAACAAGATGCCGCCAACGGCGCCAATGGAATGGACCAAGCTGCCGCTGATCAAGCTGCTGCTGACCAAGCCGCTCAAGCTGGAAGTAAGTGGCATGCTATCCATGAACGTTTCATCTACTAACGATCTCAGACGCTACTGGAGTAGTTGACGCTGGAGCCGCCGCCGGAGCCGCCGCCAACGGTACCGAGGCGAACAACGGCAAGGGCAAGGGCAATGGCAAGAACAACGGCAAGGGTAAAGGAAAGGGAGAGGGCAAGGCCAACGGTAAGAACAACGGCAACAACGGCGTTGGACAGCTCCTCCAGGAAGCCGAAGCCGCCCTCCAGGCTGGCGGTCAGCAGGGCCAGCAGCAGGGTGGAGCCGGTGGTATCGAAGGTCTCCTCAGCAGCCTCCTCGGTGGTGGTGCTGGAGGTGCCGGCGCTGGAGCCGCTGCCGGTGCTGGAGCCGGCCAACAGAAGGCTGGTGGCATCGCAGGGCTCGACTTGAGCAGCCTCGGCATCGGACGCCGCTCGAAGAGGACCACCTTCCGTGCCTAGATATGAGAGACGACTGAGAGCTCATCGTTGAACGATGGAGCCCCACAACCCATGTAACCTTATGATTGTCACTGCTTCTAGATGAAGTATACAGCGATTAGATGACTAGTAATGCCAATCCAAAAACATCATCGAATTCACCAAGTACCCATGCTCTGCCCCTATGAGTCATTCACATATACTCATCTCCCTTCATCCAGCCCAGCTGCTTCCACATATGCAACTTGTCCCACTCTTTGATCCAGCCCTTGATCTTGCCATCTTCCACCTCGAAGATGGCTGCTGCATGCCACGCTGCCTTGTTCCCACTGGCCTTGATACCATTGTGTGCCTCGCCGCAGTGACTTCCACTAGCACTGTACCTCAGGCACACATGACCACCCTTTGCGAAGATGACATCGTAAGAGTCGATGTGTAGATCGGATACCGCGGCCATGACTTTGGAATGCGACTCTGCGTATTCTTGGGGCGAGTTGACGCCGGGGAAGGTAGTTGGGGCGATGAAGTAGGCGTCCTCGTGGCAGAGATGAGCAACAGTTTGGGCACCTTTGTTCTCGTTAGGTGAGTAGGCGAGGCGCATATACTCTTTGACTACGTCGACATTCTCCTGTTGCGAAGTGTCAACGATACAACATGTAGATTTACTTTGGGGAAGATTTACTTGCTCCTCATCGGTTTGAGGTGTGCTCTGCTTGACGGGCGGGTACTTTGTGTCTGACATTGTAATGGTTCTTGGCTTATTGTGTGACGATGGTGACGAGGAGGGGTCTTGGAGTGGCTCTAAGACAACATATGCTTGATGACGGCACGGCTTCGTGATGATGTCATTCCCAAAAGGTCCAAGTTCGTCACGGGGACATGATGGTACTGAGAACGGACGGAAAGAGAGATCTGCAGTGCGCGAGGTGGCGTATAATGCCAATGGCGAAATACAAGTAGTATTCTGTTACGTGCCTTGCAAGTCGAGCGACGCTTTGGTATAGCTGCCGTGATATGGCATACGCTAAATATGCTCGAAACCAAACCAGAGGAGGAACCCACCTGAATGCCGAAGACCCTAAGCCCTTATCACTGATGTATACAAGGCTACGCGAACAAGCTTGTCCTTCCTCTGATACGCGTTCGACGCGTTGTCGCGTGGTCATGTGAGGCCCAAGAGAGTACCTGCATGACGCTACTTGGCATGCGCGAGGTGCGATACGAAGGGATCTGAGCAGATGCTGCATCTTTTCTAGAGGAACCATAGAAGGCATGTATCATCGTCGAAGGTTCGTCGGTCGGGCTCTGTATGCCTGTCTACAATATCAGCGCCTGTTTTACTACCTGTGAAGGGCTGGCGTACACCGACGAAGGATCACGAGCCCTGGGCAAGAGCCAGGTCGAGTGCATCCATGCAGTCGACAGACATGCGTCCTATAATGGATCAATCGTAGTCCGGACGGCGTCTCAGCCAGTCATACTCTGGTCTCCGTCTGCATCCTCTGCCTGCGCGACTGGCCGACCGAGCTCCGCCAGGGAAGTCTTCAGCCGCGCAATACGCGCCTCGAGATAGTCAATCTCATCTTCCTGGTCCTCGCACGTGCGGTCCATGTCAGGCAAGGTCGTCACTGCGCGTCGTGCCTTTTGTATCTTGAGACGGATGTCGTTGGCGGCGGTCGCAACATGTTGGATCTCAAGAGGCCCTTCTGCGGCAAGCTGTGCAGGTGTGGGTGTCGCCGCGGGTGGCTGAGCAGGCGCCTCGAGGATGCGCTTGAGCAGCTTGTGGAGGTCGGGCAGGATGTCAAACGTCGAGGGCGGAGGGAGAGCCGGGGTGCTCGCGGTCGGGGGTGGGGGCAGCGCCGGCGTCGCAGAGCCCGTGGGTGCAACTGAGGCTCGCGCTGAGGCAGGCGCATACGGTGTTGCGGCTCCGGACATGGTCGCGACGTCTTGCGAGTCGGCGCGGAACAATGTCTAGCGTGGTGTTGCAACTGTGGTCGCGACGCGTGGACGGGATGACGCTCCTTCCACGGGTAAGGCTGGCTGCAAGGGTGGTGATTGGATGGCGACTCCGTGGACGATAATCGCTTTGGCTGTCTGATACGCGTTTCCAGATGTCAAAGCGATCGCCAAATAGCGCGACTGCTGGTGTCACTCGAGATAAGTTCTGGCCGTGGGTTGTGGGGGGAATGTGGGCCTTTTCGCGGAAAGATTGTGACGTTGACCGGCGATGCTTTTTTGGAGTCGACTGTTTTAGCCCCGCCAACTCTGCCCCTCCGTCAACAAGCCATTCACTACTCCTTCCTCAACAACCCTCAAACCTTGTTGCTTTGATCGCTTCTTTGTCTTCATCGTTCCTTCCCCCTGGATTGACCTCATCAGCCCACAATCATGGCCAAAGTCGACCAGAAGACGGTCCTCATTGTCATCGACGGCTGGGGTGTCGCGACTGAGAACTCGCGCAAAGATGGCGATGCTATCCTCGCTGCCGACACGCCCACCATGGACGAATTCGCAAAGGAGGGCTCCAAGACCGCCCAGGGTTACACCGAACTCGAGGCCTCTTCTCTCGCAGTCGGCCTGCCCGAAGGCCTGATGGGCAATAGCGAAGTCGGCCACCTGAACATCGGCGCAGGACGCGTTGTATGGCAAGACTCCGTCCGCATCGGACAGACCATTAAGAATGGAAAGTTGAAAGATGTAGACAACATCAAGAAGTCGTTCCAGCGCGCCATCGACGGTAACGGAAGGCTCCACTTCTGCGGTCTGGTTTCCGATGGTGGTGTCCACTCGCACATGGACCATCTCATTGCGCTCCTCAAGGTGGCAAAGGACCAGGGCGTCAAGGAGGCCTACATTCACTTCTTCGGTGACGGCCGAGATACCGACCCCAAGTCCGCGGTCGGATACATGGAGACTCTGCTGAAGGCGACCAAGGAGATTGGCCTGGGCGACATCGCGACAGTGGTCGGACGATACTACATCATGGACCGCGACAAGAGGTGGGACCGTGTCGAGCTCGGCATGAAGGGTTTGGTTACTGGAGAGGGCGAGGACAGCAGCGACCCCGTCGCAACCATCAAGGAGCGATACGCAAAAGACGAGAACGACGAGTTCCTGAAGCCCATCATTGTTGGAGGAAAGGAGCGAAGAATTCAAGGTATAACACTACGCTGAGCACCTGCATGTCTTCCTGCTAATTCGTCCAGACAACGACACCGTCTTCTTCTTCAACTACCGTTCCGACCGTGTTCGAGAAATCACTCAGCTGTTGGGTGATGTCGACCGCTCGCCCAAGCCCGACTTCCCGTACCCGCAGAACATCCACCTCACCACCATGACCTCATACAACCCCAAATACACTTTCAACGTTGCTTTCGAGCCCCAGAAGATGACGGATGTCCTTGCCGAGACACTAGGAAAGCAGGGCGTCAAGCAATGTCACGTTGCGGAGACCGAGAAGTATGCTCACGTCACTTTCTTCTTCAACGGTGGTGTCGAGAAGCAGTTCGAGAACGAGGAACGCGAGATGGTTCCCTCGCCCAGGGTAGCCACGTACGACCTGGAGCCCAAGATGAGTGCCATGGCTGTCGCAGAGAAGCTGTGCGAGCGCATTCAAACAGGCAAATTCGAGTTCCTCATGAACAACTTCGCGCCACCAGATATGGTCGGTCATACAGGTGTTTACAAGGCAGCCATCGAGGCCTGCACAGAGACCGACAAGGCTATCAAGAAGGTGTACGATCAGTGCAAGGAGAGCGGATACGTTTTGTTCGTCACTGCTGATCACGGGTAAGTCGACATCGCTGCACCTTTCGAGACAGTGCTAACAGACTACAAGTAACGCGGAAGAGATGCTTACAGAGGAGGGCACACCCAAGACCTCCCACACCACCAACAAGGTGCCTTTCGTCATGGCCAACGCCCCAGAAGGCTGGAGCCTGAAGAAGACTGACGGCGTGCTTGGTGACGTCGCGCCTACCCTACTTGCGACCATGGGTCTTCAGCAGCCTGAAGATATGGACGGCCACAGCTTACTTGTCAAGTCATAGGGTGTCATTTGTAATAAAGATGTGAGACGAAAGTTTGAGACGCTTCGTCCTGAGATTCTGCCTCGTTAGATTCATACACGTATAGACGGTACAAGCTATGATGTATAGAAACATGCATAGAACGATTGCCATAAGCAGCGACACGCATAGCCACTGCTTTTCAGAGACTCTTCTTCCAGCTGTGGATTCATGGATGCTGCGATTAATGCTGGGATGATTGATCCCGGCTGAGCGGCTATGCGCTTGGCAGCAGGGGTAAAGTCACCGGCGGGGAATCGTGTGGACCCCTCCTTACGTACTCCAGGGCGCGATAGCCTTCTTTTCGACACTCCCATGGCTTTGTAGCTCAATCCTCTTTATTTGCACTATTCGCGACATAGTTCGTTGTACCTTCAACAGACAGACTGGCTCCAATCTTGATTACCGCCAACACTATCCCGTCGCGTGCCATCAAGCAGCTCTACGCACGACCGCCAACGTCGATCAAGAAGCCCATCGATTACCCCCAACTCGCTATTAACTTTCGCTATCACTACGCGATATCAACGCCGTGACACATGTTGTCATAAAGTCACATCGCGCTTCCCCGACAACTTCGCCTGTCGGTTCCATTGTTTTCGAAACCCAACCTGAGGCATCGGTGCCCGACCACGCCCTCCCAAGGCCCTCGTAATCGCGACACGCGCACGGAACGCCTGCTGCAAACACTCCTCACCACGTCAGCTCTCTGAAAAGCGACTCGAACTCGACAATGGCAACTAGAACTTCCAACGGTGCGTCTGGAGCGCAGGGCGCGCAGACTGCGGCGCAAGTGCAGCCTTGCAGATACAAGACTGGGAAGACATTGGGCGCAGGCAGCTACTCTGTAGTCAAAGAGTGCGTGCATATCGACACAGGAAGATACTATGCGGCCAAAGTCATCAACAAGCGGCTCATGGCAGGCCGAGAGCACATGGTCAGCTCAGCCTTGAGCGACTGATGAATAGTGAGACTGACAGGTACCAGGTCAGGAACGAAATCGCCGTCTTGAAAAGAGTATCCATGGGCCATAGGAATATTCTGACGCTTGTCGACTACTTCGAGACAATGAACAACCGTACGTCGTGGGCTTGTCTGGGCTGATACTCCAGCTGACCTTTGTCATAGTGTACCTCGTTACGGACCTTGCGCTTGGAGGCGAGCTGTTCGACCGCATCTGCCGGAAGGGCAACTACTACGAATCCGATGCTGGCGATCTCATCCGTGCGACTCTTTCTGCTGTCGCATACCTCCACGACCACGGCATCGTACATCGAGACTTGAAACCCGAGAACCTATTGTTCCGAACTCCAGAAGATAACGCTGATTTGTTAATTGCCGACTTCGGACTGTCTCGCATTATGGATGAAGAGCAATTCCATGTCCTGACGACGACTTGCGGAACACCAGGATACATGGCACCTGAGATTTTCAGAAAGACTGGGCACGGAAAACCAGTGTAAGATATACTGCGTAACTTTGTGATCCATTGCTGACTCTGCTGGTAGTGACATCTGGGCGATTGGAGTTATTACCTACTTTCTCCTCTGCGGTTACACTCCGTTCGACCGCGACTCCAACCTCGAAGAGATGCAGGCCATCTTAGTCGCAGACTACTCCTTCACACCCTTGGAATACTGGAGGGGTGTTTCCCTTACCGCCCGCGAGTTCATCCGCCGATGCTTGACCGTCGACCCCGCCGCCCGCATGACAGCCCATGAAGCGCTCTCACATCCTTGGATCACCGAGCTTGGCAAGAACAACGCTGATGGAGAGGAGGATCTACTGCCCACTGTCAAGAAGAACTTCAACGCGCGCCGCACACTACACGCAGCTATCGATACGATTCGCGCCATCAACCAGCTGAGAGCAGGTGGTGCCGCTGGAATGATGGATGGCCAGCGATCCGCTGAACCACGAAGGGGAGCCCCTCACGCCAACATTCCTCAACCAGCGGAGGAGCCTGATGATCCTATGGAGATTGACAGCAGAGGAAACGGCCACGGTCAGACTGAAGAGATGATACAGGAACAAGAGCGGAGGATTAGAGAGACTCAACAAGGCCTATGGGGTAAGCGATGATGTGCATCATCTACGACCTCAAAGTCAATTCTTTTCTTAGCACACGTTTTAAAGTGGGTGCTTTTGGCTGTCAGCGAAATCTCCTTTCGATCACATATCATGTTCACATTAGCGAAGGCTGGCGCTGAAGCCCTTCTCTCTGCGAATTGGTTTTGAGCAGCTCATTATAAACAATGGTACCGGTTCAACAGCATGCCAACTCTCCAACTACGTAGTATACAGACATACAGCATGCGTTCACGTCCGAACTCTCGATCCTCCAAACCATGATATATCACACCTTCCTCCTGAACAAGCCTTCGGCTAACAGAGGGAGAGTGTCTAGATGTTGTATACCAAGCCCACTTCAGCTCTGACATCGTCTTTACACAACATCTCCCATCCTCGATTCCAGTCGTTCAGTCCTTCGCCCCACTTCAACTTTAGGATTCCCAAGTCTTTAGTATGCCTCCAGAACGCCTCAAAGGCTGCATATAAATCTTTGAAGTATCGTTCTCCAGCCACCTCAATGCCCTTTTCTTGCAATAGACTTGCGTTGACAATGTTCAATGCAGCTCTGTTTGCGAGGCGTTGGGCTGCTTTTTCTGGGTCTTGAGGCGCGACTTCACCGCCGACCGTCACGAGCATGAACGGGATGTTGGGCGTTAATGATGATAGCGCGGCCCGCCAATTTGTGTTTGCTCCGGGGCGAGCGCCGAAGTCGAAGAGTAGTGTACGTTTAGTACCGGAGACCTTGACCTTCTTGATTGTGTCGTCGAAGTCGTCGTAGAGAGCTACGTCGTCGTACCACCCTGTCCTCTTGATCGTTTGAATAGAAGCCTTCGAACCAACTCCGATGATGCGATCAGGTTGATGCTCAACGGGTCGACAGTGTCGGAGGGCATACGCAAAGCAAAAAGCTGTCTTCCCACTCGCATTCAACAAGACGACCGCAGCACCTCCCAGATCAGCGTCCTCGTCACTCCACTCTCCATTTCCTGCAGGATGTATCCTCCTCTTTTGACTCTCATCCTCACATCCCTGCCAAGGAAATACATAGCAGCAAAGATTGTGGCCAACAGTAAACGGGCCCATCATCAACGCTACCCAGCCCAACTGATCTATTCCCTCACTCTCGCCAGCGGATTGTGGAAGTGGACCGCAAACACGATACCGGTTATACAACTTCCGCAGCTGCTGTCTATGCGCATCTGCTACGACAATTTGATCCTGAATCACACTCCCATCTCGTGCATCTCTAGCTCTTTCTACGGTAACATCTTCCCACTCGGTACTGCTCGGTAGATACCCGTATACGCTCATTCCTCTCTCTATTCCTTCAACCGTGCTTTCAAGAATCTCGGCGTAACCCCATGCAGCAACGCGACCATATTTGGTAGGGTCGTTGTACGGAGGTGTTGTTGTAGATGGAAGCGGATATGTGTCGTACCAGCCCATTAGGTGGCCGATGCGTGCGTAGGAGAAGTTGTTTGTTGTTAGGCTGAGAATCTTGGTACGGAGGCGGAGGGAGGAGGGTGGAAGTATAGTAAGGGGTTTGGGAGTGAGGGAAACAAGATGGTGAGTTGTATAGTTTGTGAGGGACAGGATGTGTGTGGCTGACTGGGTAGACGGTGTCGATGAAGACATGATGTGGGCTAACTACGATCACAGTCGTCTTCTTGGACACTGGTTAACGACTTGTGGAGAGCGCTTTAGGCGTAGATGTGGAACCATGTTCGCAACATCCTCAGTGTCATATACCAATAAAACACGCGTTGGCCAAGACAAGGCTTATCGAAAACAGTTCCCTGTGACTCACATAGCCATCCACCCGAGGAACCTCTTACGGGCGTAACAGTCGATTGAAAGCGAGATACAGATGATGTCTAACCAATGGATGAATCTCCATGCTTACGGCCAAGGATATTGCGGGGCTCAAAAGGGCGTTCTGCTCTAACCAATCCGGGCTGGCAATAGTATGCGTGGATGGAGACCACCGCTTCTTGTGCCTTTCTCTGATCCTTCTATGCGAAGTTGTTGTCCGTGTACGTTTCCGTCCTGCCATTTTCCCGTCTGTCATTCTTCTTATCTCCGTCAACGATCTTGCCACCCGCTTTCCGTCTACTTTCGACCAAGGCCTTGATCAGCGCAACTGTAGCTTCCCATCCTCCTCGCAGCTTATCCGCGCTATCGCTAAGATCGGGTACGTGGAGGAACATGACAGGCCTCTCGTCTTCCTTGATACCGAAGTAGTGCGCCAAGCTATTGTAGTAGATGAAGCCACACAAGAAATTCCCAGCATCATTGCTGATCCGCACATCAGAACATCCTTCGTCGGTCTTAGTGCCATCAACAGATGTGTATCCTAGATTGGCCTTCCAGTGTGCGAGGACTTCGGATGTGTCAAAGCTAGTGTTCAGCTTAGACGGATACTTCGAAGACGGGAAGTGCATTTCCATTTCAGAATCTTCGAATCGTTGGCCATCTACGTCAGGAATCTTCCCATATCCACGACCTTGAGACCCTTGCTCGATGGCAAAGTATTTTCGTCCAGCTGCTAGGCCGATGTGCAGCACAATGTCTGGAGGAGGATAGAGAGGGTTGGTTGGTGGAAGAAGCTTGGGGACGAGGCTGACGACATTGCTGTATGCGACACGGATAGGCTCGTAGTGAACGTGAATGTTTATCGGAGTTTGGTTCTTCGGTGACTTTGGTATCAGAGCTGGAAGTGTAGACGCAATTTCCCAAGAAGAGTTCTTCGGGAACTTCTCCAGAAAGGGCTAAGTTTACATTAGTTAATTCCTTGCATCCACCCCAGCGTCTGGCTGGAAACATATCGATCAGGCAGATTAAGGCATGCTCTGAAACACCAGAATGTGAAGGAGTTGACCCAGGTCTTAATTAGACGTGATTGGAAGACCTTGAGTTGAACATCAGCACTGAAAAGAGATTAGAACTTACGCCAAACCCTGTAACCAAGACTGTGACTGGCCTCTCCCCCTCTTCACTCGGAGGCTGTGGAGCAGCGTAGGATGTTGGCGGCATCGATGATCGGGCTTAGCGGGTATTAGAGGTACAAAACGCGATAAACCAGGCAGTATTGAGGATAAACTACCACGACGTTAGTACCTGCAGCGAGAGTTTTTGTGTCAGTGGGTCGAGAAGGGTATTGCCTGTAATGATGATGCAAAACAGAGCGACCTGATGACGGCATGGAGGCTAGGACGAAGGTCACGTTTCCACCTACCTAGGCAGGTACTTCACACACACACACGCGAACCGCAAATTACAGTTATCCGAGATTCCAGATGGGTTAGGGATGCACGACCATTGCAGATCGCGCTTTCAGCAGGCATCGTGGCCAGGTCGTGTTCGGCACTCGGTTAGGTGGACTCGGCATCTTGGTCTTTCAAACGGTTTAGCGCCTGCCAGAATCCCTGGGGCATTCGCGCGATGCCTCAACCGCCGACTTTGTTCCCGAATGCTTACCCCACATGTTTACCTTCCAGACCCCACATATCAGCGCGTCGCCTATCGCCGCCAGACGCTTGCTCTCTCGGATGGGGTGTTTTGAGACGCGCGGTATCGGGTAGTGCACTTGCTAATATGACGCTGATGCCGTCGCGTGTTAGCACGTGGGTAGTTTGTTATTTGGGTGCTGCAGGGCTGTTGCATAAGTCCGCAGTCAATGACGTTGAGTGAGCTGTCGTTTCTCACCGTCCCGAGGTCGGTGTGACTTTCGGATCAGAACCAAAGTAAGTGCGCATAGCGATGACTGGCAAGCGTCAAGTTCTCTTTTCGTTGCATGATGCAGTCGCATCGTTGATATCAAGCTAACCTCACACTGAAAGTCAGTTACCTCAACCGCACGCCTATACACGCGGGACGTCACAATGGCTTCCACGGGCTCATCTTCGAAATCCTACTCGCTCGCCGTCGTAGGCGGTGGGATATCCGGCCTCTGCCTCGCAATAGGCCTCCTTCAGTACGATATCCCCCTTACGATTTACGAAGCCGCACCACACTTTGGCGAAATTGGTGCTGGGGTCGCTTTTGGACCTAACGCCGGCCGTGCGATGGAGCTCCTGTCTCCCAAGATATACCAGGCTTTCTTGAAATGCAAGACTGGCAATGCGGACAATTCCAAGTCCGACTCGTGGTTTACGATACGGGTGGGCGATGCTAGAAAAGAGGACAGTGAAGGGTATGTGAAGGAGGGCAAGAAGGTCGGCGATGCCCTGTTTGATGTGCCTATGCACTCAGGCGGAGGGCGCGGCGGCGTGTACAGAGCTCACTTCCTTGACGAACTCGTAAAAGAGATACCTGACGGTGTTGCCAAATTCGATAAGAGACTTGTAGAGCTGAGCGAGGCTCAAGATAGCTCTGGAGATGTGTTGCTCACGTTCGCTGACGGTTCAACCGCACAACACAGCGCTGTAATCGGATGCGATGGCATCAAGTCTTTAACGCGAAAGTGGCTACTTGGGAGAGATAATCCTGCTTCCAAGGCTGTATTCTCTGGAAAGTACGCCTATCGAGGGCTGATACCTATGGATGAGGCTGTGGAGATGCTGGGTGATGATGCAGCGCGGAACAGCCAGATGTATCTTGGATACCATGGCCACTTGCTTACATTTCCAATTGCGCATGGCAAAACGATGAACGGTAAGGGTAGTCATCGTTTAGAGTGTTGTCTTGCTAACAGACACAGTGGTTGCATTTAGCTCTCGCGATACCTGGGAAGACGAGAAGTGGGTTGTGGCCACATCGAAACAAGAAATGGAAGACGACTTCCAAGGTTGGGGCCCACATGTCACGAAGATTGTCAAGGCAATGCAGAAGCCAGACATTTGGGCGTTGTTCGAGCATCCACCCTGCGACACTTACACCAAGGGCCGCGTTTGTTTGCTTGGAGATGCAGCCCACGCGACCACACCTCATCAAGGGGCTGGTGCCGGCCAGTGTATAGAAGACTCTTACATCCTCGCCAATCTGGTCAAGGAAACGAGCGACGTCAATGAGTTGCAGCGAGCATTCAGCGCCTTCGACCAGGTCAGACGAGAGAGGACGCAAAAGATCGTGAAAACAAGCCACGAGGCCGGTCAAATGTATAACTTCGAACTGTTTGGAGACGACCTCGATAAGATTGAGGAAAGTTACAAGCATAGGATGCGATGGATTTGGGACATTGATCTGAGGGCGCAATTAGAGCAGGCGCGGCAATTTATGAAACAATGAATTTGAGATATGTTCGCCAACATATACTCCAGTCGACAAGTCTGCATGCTCGACGAAGCCTCCCGAGATCGTGTCTAATCAATGACATCATCTCTCAGAGCAAAGATCTGCTTCAACACCTCGTCCGTCTTGGCACCAATCCCGTTGTGATACATTGTGTTCGTGATGAAAGTCTTGCAGCCTTTGATGGTGTTTGCCGTCTCCATACTCAGGTCGAGGTCAACGTACATGTCGTCCATGTACACTGCAGCATAGGCCGGTACCTCGTTCTTTCTCAATTGCTCTTTGTCATACAGTTGCGGCCAATCTTTCTCTTCAGCTAAGAGGTTGCCAACAGTCTTGAGCTTAGCGAGCTCCGGGTAAACATCGAACATGAAAGGGTAGATCATCTCGCCGGTGAAGTAGACAGGCTCATCTCCGTCTACGCGCGAAAGTGAGAACTCAGGATATTTCGGGAGTAGGCGCTCCGCAGACCAATTCGAGGCCTGGCCTTGACAGTAGATGGGTTCATGGAGGAGAGCATAGATGACGTTAGAGTCCCAACTCTGCGCTGCCTCCAATGCGAGCACAGTAGGCCGTGTAAGATGTCCGAATTGGGTCAGATCGGTATCGGCGCGAAGCACAAACTCGTGGACGTCATCGAAGCCTCCGTGCTTGCCAAAGTAGATTCCCAGTTGTAGAAAGCGACGTGCAGAGAGATAGCCTTCGCCGCCTTGTACGCGCACAGTAGTATCTCCGAAACGTGAGAGAAGCTTGACAATGCGTTTGACGCGGTCGACATCTTCGGGATACTTCGCGTAGTATCCCTCGTTCCGGCTCTTGACACGCGCGTAAAGCCGCTCGTAAACTTCATCAGGCCCCTCTCTAAGGGGTGGCAGGCCGCCGAACAAGAACGCCTCTTTGACTCCTTCGGGGAAGAAAGACAAATAGGTCAAGCAGCAGAAACCACCGAAGCTCTGACCCATAATACTCCATTTCTTCTTCTCTTCAGGAAAGTCTTCAGTCAGGGCTTTCCTTACAGCCTCACAGTCTTTGACGATACTATCAGCCCTGAAACTCTTCATATACTCTGCTTGCACCTTCTCGTCGCCTCTCAATTGCAGACTTGACTGGCTAATGGCAGTTGAGAGACCAGTGCCACGTTGATCCAGCATGAGCACTTGGTAGCCTTTCTCGAGAATGGTCTGAGTCCAGGATACCTTCTCAGGACTACGACATTCGAAGCCCGGGCCGCCCTGTAAGTAGACGAGCCATGGGAGTTGAGTCTTCGCGCGATCGAGGTGCGACGTGGGTGTGTAGTCTGCAGGCTTCTCGGCTTTCAGAGCCGAGCGAGCGAAGAGTTGGATCGTTCCGGCTGAAGGGTTCGCTTCAAGATGGGATTGTCAGCACAAACTTTTGTCATCGCTGATTGTTCAAATCAGCTGCCTTATCCGAGGCCATAAGTTTCATGTTCATCTGCTATCCAATGATTGAGAGGACCACATACAGTAATCTCTGGGTACCTGGAAGAAGTGTTCCGTTATCCGGAGCTTGCCTGTCTGTAATTAGCTATGAGGCGTTGTAGACAACACAGGAAACCCATAGTTACCAGGCACCAAGTGACTTCTCTGCTCGAGGATCTTTGCTGCTTGTATCATGTTTGTAGTTGACAAGTGTCGGGTGCAAGGTGGGGAGTGAATGTATACGGTCTTATCGATAAGCACCAACTCCGTAGTGCCTGCTCCGAAGGATCGGCGACATTGCACGCACTGCACGCGACGATTCGCAACCGTGAGTTTGCGCTTACTCATTACAATAATTACATTTCATGCACTCTAGCCTTGTTTGATCCGTTATTCGAGTCACTGGAAGCAAGGTGGTTTACCATCAACGTCGGCGCTGGGAAAATTTACAACTGAGGGGCAAACGCGGAGAACTTTCCATTGCAGACCGAATAATTCCCACTGCGTTTCACAACTGCGTTGTCTCATTATCGAAACTCGAACATGGCTAAAGATAAGAAGAAGGCGGCAGCGGGAGGCAAAGCAGCAGCCAAGGCTGCAAAGGCTGCTAAGCAAGAGAAGAAGGCAGGCAAGAAAGACAAGAAGGTCGCATCCAAAACACAGGAAATCGACTCTGATGCGGAAGATGTTGACCTGGATGACATCTTAGCACAGTATGCAAAAGAGCAGGAACAACACCATGCTATTACAGAGATACCCGCTGAGCCGCCCTCTGCCCGGACTTCGAGCACCCTCCTCGCCAACCCGGCGAACGAGAATGAGATCTTCTTGTTCGGAGGCGAATATTTCAACGGAGCCACCGCCAAGTTCTTCAACGATCTGATGATTTACAACGTCAAACAAGATTCTTGGAAGCAAGTCACAAGTCCAAACTCACCACTACCTCGATCTGGACATGCTTGGTGTCGCGCTGCCAACACAAAAGAGATTTATCTGTTTGGTGGAGAGTTTAGCTCGCCGAAGCAAGGAACCTTCTATCACTACAACGACTTCTGGAAGCTCGATCCGGTCTCTCGAGAATGGACACGCATGGAGGGAAAGAGCAAGACCGCTGCCCCACCAGCACGAAGTGGACATCGCATGGTTGGTTTCAAACAGTACATTATCTTATTTGGGGGATTCCAGGACACATCTGCGACCACCAAATACTTGAATGATCTTTGGATCTACGACTGCGTCAACTTCTCATGGCACACGCCAAAACTGCAAGCAGCTCGCGCAGTACCAGATGCACGATCGAGTTTCAGTTTGTTGCCGCACGAGCAAGGCGCAGTCATCTATGGCGGTTACTCTCGTGTCAAGACGCAAGCTGGCGGCAAGCAACAGCAGCAAGGCAAGGGCAAGAAGAGCAGCAGTGGCGGTCCGGCATCGCGCATGGTGCTAAAGCCGAAGGTTCACGACGACACCTGGTTCATACGCATCACACCACCACCTGCTGATCAACCATCCACTACCCTTCCAACTGTTTCTTGGGAGAAGCGAAAGAAGCCCGCGAATGCACCAAACCCGCCGCGTGCAGGTGCGACAATGGCTTACCACAAAGGTCGCGGTGTCCTTTTTGGCGGTGTGCATGATGTGGAAGAAAGTGAAGAGGGCATTGACTCCGAGTTCTTCAATCAGCTGTTCATCTGGAATGTCGAGCGCAACCGATACATGCCACTCACTCTACGCCGGCCGAAATTGAACGCTAACAAGAAGGCTGCACAGCAAGCGAACATCAGCCGACGAGATCGTGGCAAGGCCGCAGAAGAAGAGCTGCTAGCTAATCTCAAGGCTCTCGAAATGAAAGCCGGTGTAGTCACAGATGCGGATTCGGATGACAAAGCGAAGAAAGCGAAGGAAGAGGAAGAAGATGAAGAGGCACGTCCAGAGAAGCCGAAGATATTCGAGTTCCCACATCCACGTTTCAACGCCGCACTTACGGTTCAAGCTGATACACTCTACATCTACGGTGGTACCTACGAGAAAGGTGACCGCGAGTTCACCTTCGATGAGCTCTGGTCTGTCAACCTCAATCATCTAGACGGTGTCACTGAAATCTTCAAGCGCGAGCTCGAAGACTGGCAAGGCAGTGAGGATGAAGCCGACTCAGACGAAGACTCCGAGGAAGACTCCGAGGAAGAAGAAGAAGAAGGTGATGAGGACGACAAGTCTGTATCGACAGCACCCACGAGTGTCACAGAGTCTCCTGCTATTGCACCCATTCACTCCGAAGACCTTGGTCCCCAGGAAGAGATTTCTGCGCTCACCGATACGCTTCCACATCCCCGTCCTTTCGAATCGTTGCGCGACTTCTATGCTCGCACTTCAGAGCAGTGGCAAAATCTCGTCCTGGAAGAGTTGGACAGGAAGGGAAAGAGCGCGGAGAAGAGCCCGAAAGAAGTCAAGAAGATGGCATTCGAGAGGGCAGAAGAGAAGTGGTGGGATTGCAGAGAGGAGATCCGTGCACTTGAAGACGAACAGGAGGCAGCGGGCATTGGTGAAGTCGTCAGTCTGGCGGATAAGGAAGGCGCTGGAGTGGGAAGGAGAAGGTAGTACCAGAGGTGAGCTTGCGGAAGTTGAAGCTATGCGATCTTGGCATGTACATATTCTGCTCAAGAACAAAAGTGTGATTAAATGAGTAAAACCGCTTATACCATGCCGCAATCTACATGATGGCCTCAACCACCTCCGACACCCAATCTAGCTGAACTGAACTGACACGCTTAGCCCATGCCTTGCCTGTGAATACAAACTCATTAAACACAATTGCCTCCAGTTTCTTTCCAAACAGTACCGAGCTGGGATGGATCGCAACCGTTTGGTTACCAATCATCGTCTTGTAGCTACCATCTGGCATCAATCTCGCTGTATTGGAGATGAAGCCGCGCAGCATACATGCCAATATGGCTTGACTCCTAGCTTCCGAAGGTGCATTATTGGACTCTTCGTCGTCAGCTGAGAGCAGCTTCTGCTGTCTACATTGTTCCCGCAGTTGCTTCCTGATGTTCATTACATTCTCCATTGCGCGGTGGGATACGTAGTGCTTGTCACACCAAGCTCGACGCTGCGACTTCAGTTCAGCAGCGTATCGCTGAACGGTAATGAGCAGTGTGAGGTGATCGCCCTCTCGGCGGTATAGCTCACGCCGGACTTCTTCTGCCTCTTCTTTGCGCTCTTCGGTAACAAGGTTCAGGAAGACCTCCTCGACGCTGAGTGCGGATATGATATCGATCACGTCGAGTAGGCAGTCGCGCTCTGGCTTCGCTGCTTCGACTAGTACTCGTCCTAGCGTAGGCGTGAGCGGGAACTTGGCAATCTTGAGACCAATACCGCTAATTTCACCGGTATCTGTCAACGCTTGTAAGTGCAATAGTTGCAGAAGAGCCTTCTCTAGAGCTTCTCGTGGTGGCCGATCAAGGAATGGGAAGCCGAGTACGTCATCGACACCTCGCGCCTTCATTGTCAAGATAGCTTGACTGAGGTCGCAACGCAGTATCTCGGGCGTGGTGCGTTCTTCCATAGTATCGTAGCCGTTCTCAGTATACAGCCGATAACACTGGCCAGGTGCTTCACGACCAGCTCGGCCTTTGCGTTGGATAGCTGCAGACTTGGAGATAGGCTTCACAAGCAGCGATTCGAGACCTAGGCGACTGCGAAATTGCTTTATCTTCGACTTTCCACAATCGATCACAAAGCGGACGCCAGGGACAGTGACTGATGTTTCAGCGATGTTGGTTGCGAGGATGACGCGGCGTGTGCGATAGGGCGTTGGCTGGAAGATGCGCTGTTGGGCGTGTTGTGGAAGGGCGGCGAAAAGAGGTAGCGCAAGAAGTTTAGGGATGTCGTCGTCCACATTTTCAGCATAGTCGTTGATGAGCTTTTCGAGTCCCTCGATAGTATCTTGACCTGTGAGAAAGACCAGTATGTCGCCTGGCAGAGGCTCCTTGTAATGTATTTGGAAGACGAGCTTGAGAGCTGCTTCGACCCAGTCTTGTGTTGGTTGCGGCAAGTACACTGTTTTGACGGGGTATTGCCGCCCCTCTACAAAGCATGTAGAAACGTTTCCTTTACTTTCCGTAGTAGGCTTCGCGATCGCGTTCTCGGTGTTCGACACAGGCTGGCTGTCTCCGAAGAACTTGACGAGACTTTCCACGTCTGCCGTAGCACTCATTACTACGACTTTGAGCGGATGCTTCCTCGCCACGCTACCTTCTTTAGCGGATAACAGGTTGCGTAAGAACCCAAGAATCAAGTCGACATTTACACTTCTTTCGTGGACCTCATCTACTACAACAGCGCTGTACTGCAACATGTTGGGATCTCTGAGCATCTCTTGAAGCAGCATACCCTCTGTCAGAAACTTGACTTTGGTGTGCTTTCCTGCCGCAGTGTCGAAACGGACGCTGTATCCAACCTTGGCTGTAGGACCTTTGTCTCCAAGTAAGCTGCCCATCTCGTCCGCGACGCGTCGTGCTAGGGAGATTGCCGCCACTCTTCGAGGTTGTGTAATCGCTATACACCCGGTACACCAAGACTCATTGACCAAAAACTGGGGCACTTGTGTCGACTTTCCGGAACCAGTCTCTCCGGTCAGTACGAGGACGTTGTTTCTTTGGAGAGCTGCTCGGATGACGTCCGCTTGAGGCCATATCGGAAGCGACTTGCGGACTAGCCGCAACTCATCACGCTTCTGGATTACATGCGATGGCACTCTTAAGTCTTGTTGAGAGGTGCGAGGTCTGTCGGCCTGTTTGTTCTTTGGTCGAGCTTGTTGTTCGGATTTTGGTTGAGGTTTGGTGGACTGAGGCGCATCGGCTTTCTTGCGCTTGTACACCTCTGCTTGCCGCTCAACTGGAGTTCCAACAATGCCTTCCGTTCGTTTGGGTTCGGCGACGGGCTTAGGGTATTCCGCAGTAGAACTTGGGGCGTCATCGTCGGAATGGTCGAACTTGATCAACACGCCGGCTCCCTTTTTGCCACTCCAGCCATCTTTTGCTGGCTGAACTCTCTTTCTCTTCTTGCCTTTCTTCAGTTCCACGGGGGGGTCCTTCGCGCCTTCAACTTTTGGTTCGCTGCTCTTTCCGTTGGACATTTTCGTTGACGCGATTGGAACCCGCGTTTCACGTTGCCAAAACTTTTCCGCTCTTCTCAAGGTCGTTATCGATAAGCCTGCTAGCGTGATACGCGCGTGCACGTGCCAACGGCCCACATCCCCACCTGGGCACATTCTCGGTCGCTCGCTGGCCGCAACACCCCGTTGATCACTCATCGCATTGCTGACGATGCGTAGCAGGACGTGATTGTGTCTTCTGGTGTTCGGTGGTATTTATCCCGACGCTATGCATTCAATGGCTGACCCCGCCGCTGGGGACGATCAACCGGGAACTTAATCAAAGTAGGGCGGGAGAGGATGCCGTCATAAGCTATATAAAGACGAGCGGGTAGAAGCGTTGCTAACGAATCACGAAGCCATTATGTTTCCACTGCGATTGGAGAAGTGGGCCAAAGTTCTATACTTACTCTCTCTCACATCGCCTGTCGTGGAGAGCAAAATCGATCGCAAGTCGATTGTCCAGCAGTATAATATCAAGCTCAGCCAATCGAACCCATACAGCCCAGTCCAGGTTGGCAACGGAAACTTCGCGTTCGGTGTAGACATTACCGGACTGCAGACCTTTCTGCCGCACAATACTCTTTCATCCTGGGGATGGCACAACCAATCTCTGCCAACGACACCAAATCAAAAGCTTCCATCTGACTACACCGGTGTTGACTGGTGGACCCACGATCGCCTCGTCAACTATGCGCAGCCCAACCCAGAACAGAAGGACATCAGTCAATGGATGATCGCGAACCCACATCGTATTAATTTGGGAAGAGTTGGACTGTGGTTCGGCGGCATCGCAGGGGGCAACGTCACCGAAGATATACTTAGTGGTAAAGAGCAGGTGCTGGAGCTCTGGGAAGGTGTCATCAAATCCTCTTTCTTCATCAACGGAGAAAAGGTTGTGGTGACAACTGCTGCAAGCCCGGAAACGGACACTATCGCTGTAGACATATCGTCCAGCCTAGTGAGGACTGCAGGACTGGGCGCTTTCTTCGATTTCCCGTATGCGACTGGGAAAAATAAGTTCGATGCACCATTTGTTGGTCTCTTCAACGCTACTTCCAACCATTCCACAACGGATAAATACAGGAACAGAGGTGCGACAATCACGCATGTACTAGATGCAACAACATACACGGCCGATATCGCTTGGGAAGGTTATGCCCGCCTCTCGCGCCTGCACAGAAACGAGCACAAATACATCCTAGCCGCCAGTCAGAGATCTGAGACGCTCTCGTTCACTGTTACGTACGCTCCTCGGGTGGCCAATGTGTCTTACACTGCAGAGACAGTCAAGCAAAAGTCACAAAGCTGGTGGGCAGACTACTGGTCGACTGGTGCATTTGTGTCACTTCCGTCGGCCAATAATGCCTCTGCGAACGAGCTACAGCGTCGCACCATCCTTTCTCAGTATCTTCTTGCGGTCAACGGGGCTGGTAAAGATCCCCCACAAGAGTCTGGCTTAGTGAACAATGGATGGTACGGGAAGTTTCACATGGAAATGGTCTTCTGGCATCTAGCACATTGGATGTTCTGGGGGAAATGGGACCTCTATGATCGCAGTATCGGCGTTTACGAGCGCTTTCTACCCAGCAGCTTTGAACGGGCTGAAAAGCAAGGATACGAAGGCGCGCGCCTCGGCAAGATGAGCGATCCAAGCGGCCGATCTGCGCCAGGCGAGATCAACAGCCTACTCATCTGGCAACAACCGCATCCCATGTACTTCGCCGAGATGGAATACCGATCTTTCCCGACCGAAAAGACCCTCGAGAAATGGGATGAGATCTTGACAGGTGTGGCGGACTTCATGGCCAGTTATGCCTTCTGGAATTCCACAACGAATCAATACGATCTTGGGCCGCCCATGTATCCAGTTTCTGAGAATACTAATCCCAACGAGACGATTAATCCGACGTTCGAGCTAGCGTACTGGCGCTTTGGTCTCGACGTAGCGTCGAAGTGGCAAGCGCGGCAAAACAAATCCACTCCGGAGTCCTGGATACACGTACGAGACCACCTAGCGCCTTTCCCCATTGAAGAGAACGCGTATGTGACGTATGAGGGAATACCAGATATGTGGACTACCCCCGAATATACGGAAGATCATCCAGGACTTCTGGGTATATATGGCTGGCTGCCTCCAGACGCCCGCGTCAATATGACGATCTTCAACAACACCATCGCCAAAGTACACGAGACCTGGAACTTTCCCTTTTCTTACGGTTGGGATTTCCCATTGTTGGCTATCACGGAAGCGAGGAGAGGAGATGCGGAACGTGCTGTTAGTCAGTTACTTGACGTGAACAATGCTTTTGATGAAGTGGGAATGCCAGAGGGGGGAACAAGAGTGCCGACGCCGTATTTTCCGAGCTCAGCGGGCTTACTGCTTGCGGTGGGGATGATGTGCGGTGGCTGGGACGGGTATGAAGGGCCAGTATGGCCGTCG